AAAAAAAAACACTGACTACATAATCTGCGTGCAATATCGGCACTTCTCTCGTTTTTCTGCATAATACATTTGTTTTTTCTTCAATAACCCGTTCAATAAATGACTTTAACTGAAAATACAGCTAAAGTCAAAAACATTCTGACAGATCCTAGAGCAAAAATTTATACTTCAGGAAACTTATAGCATCATTTTCCAAATTACCACGGAGTACTGGCATCATAATTATCTAATAAAAATATTTTATTTATCAAATAAAAAATTCCATACCTTCGGAAGACTTTTAACTGGAACATAAATCTGAAGTCTACGGTATGGATCATCTCGTCTCGTCTTTCCAATACATTCCACTCCCACCTAAATAAAATTTACTGCAACGGCGAAGATTTCTGTCACTGATTAACTTGATTCAACTCTATTCTAATACTACGACTCAAATAAGAAAATCTTTTGTATTCCTTTTAACAACAAAATTTTAACAATAAATAGACAAAAAAGTGTCCTATCTGTCAACTTCTATTTCAGATGAAAGTTGGGGATGCTCTGTGCTCCTTCTTTGAAGTAAAACTTTTAAATACATAAGATACCTCCTGTTGAAGAATACCCTTATGTGTCATAATCCATCTCTTCGTAGCAGTTCCACATCTAATATCATATGGCACTAACCTGTTCTGCAACAAATTTTAAGAATTCCATTATGAAATTGATTATTAAATCACGAAGATTTGCCTCAGAGACGAAGATCAAAATTCAGAATTACGAAGTATTTGCAAGTTTGGTCAGAGCTTTTTGATACAGGTTAGAAAAAGAATAGACCATCAGAAAGATCTTGAGAATATATGCGTCCTTTCCCAGTTTTTTGCGTTCACCTGATAAAAAATTGTGCATTCGATGAGCAATAAGAGTGAGCATACCTTTCTTTCCTCTTCCAATACATTATGATCAATTTCATGCAACCAAGAAGGATCCGCAGTGCACACATTCAATACAAAATCATTTGACGTATGGACCAAACATTCATAAACAATAAATTCCGGAGTTATATCATTGTATTTTAAAGCTGATGACGGATGAATCTGCAAGATTACAGTTATTGACTGCAAACTGAAAGAAACACGTCCAGCAGATGAAATTACGGGGTAATTTGGGATTGCTGTCAAAACTGCATTTGGTAAGACAAACTCAAAATAGAATAACATTCAAAAGACCATATGAATTCCACATGATTAGAAGTGATAGGATATTCACGACTTCGTACATTTCCTTCTGTTAATTTCAAAGTTTTTGGTGGTTTCAAGTTGGATTAGCTTCAAGTCAGTTTTGGATTACTTAGCAACATACGAAAACGTATTTCTTCCCATTAAAATCATAATATCCACGCTCTGGTAGGCCGGAATACATTGCTAAATTACTTCCAAAGGATCGACAGAAAAGAGTGGGAATGATTGTCCGTGCTTTCGAAATATCAATTTTGTGTATGTCCGCATTAACACTCTAAATTAAATAATATAATATGTATATATATATATATATATACATATTATTTTTTGTTTTTTGTTTTTTTTGATATATATATACATATTATTTTTTGTTCATATATATATATATATATATATATATATATATATATATATATATATTATA